AAAAAAAAAGATCTTAGGGATTTAACGTTAGTGTGAGGTTGATGGCAACCATAAAATGGTGGATGAATGAGGGTGGGGGCTGGGTGTCCCCAAGGGACAGTGCCAGGGGAATCTAGAGAAGGTGCCTCTCAACCTTGGCTTTGAAATTGAGGATAGGTGTGAGGTGAGGGCTGGAGGGTGGAATGCATTAAACAAATGGGCAGCGCGCCCCCTGGTGGTGGGTGAGAGGAKAGCCCCAGGTGGTGGGAGGAGGGGCTGGGAAAGAGGGCTCTGGTCTCCCCTGGGCCCTCAGCCCTTGGTCTGATGTCCTTCCAGGATGAAAGCAACTCATCCCTGCTCAACAACTACGTCCTGGGGGCCCAGCTGGACCGCAGCCACGTGGACAACCTCACAGAGCCAGTCAACATCAGCTTCTGGCACAACCAAAGCTTGGTACTGTTGGAGTACCCYCCTTTCCACCCCACCCCTGCCCCTCTGTGGTTCTCCTGTTGAACACTGGTTTGACCAAACTCAGACCTGAGGAGCCGTCACATTCTGAAAATTCCTACTAAGGAGATGAGAAACTTTCACTCATTGCATTCTTCAGGATTCTTTCTGTTGCTAGTGATAGAAGACCACCTCAAGCCCGCTTAAGCACAAAAGGGAATTCTTGGCTCACGTCAATGACATGTCCAGGGGTGATCCACCTTCAGACATGGCTGGATCCAGGGACTGACACAGTACTATTATGGGTCAGTCTCTCTCCATCTCTCGGCAATTGTTTCCTGCCTTGGCAAGATGGGTGCTAATCAGGAGGGCTTCCTTTCCCTCTTTCCAGGGGGTCTACCTCACCAGTGCAAATCAGGATCCAGGGTCCTAAAGGCTCAACTGGGTCATGTGTCCATCCCTGAACCAGTCTCTGTGCCCAGGGGGACGGAACGTGTGGATTGGCCCCACCTGAGTCATGGGGGTGGAGGAGTGAAAACCCTCGTAGTGGAATAGGGGGAACTAGGTGAACACAGCCCAGTGCCCTGTTTCCCTGTCCCTRTCCTTGCTGAAAAGCTCAGAGCCCTGTCCTCCAGCTCCATGTCCCTGCGGCTTCACCAGAACTGCCCTGGACCTTCCTTCCCTGCTCCGGGCAGTTCCCTCCCCCTGGAGCAAACGCCCTACCTCCAGTGTCCTGGAAATGGGGGTGGAGGCCTCGGTGCCCCGCCTCTGGCCCTTCCTCTGCGGTCTCCAAGGCGCTGCCCMGTGTGGCTGGAATGAGTCTCTCCCCCTCTGGGCCTGGGTCTGGRTCATCCGTGGCCCTCACCAGTGGGAGAAGGGGAGAAGGGGGACCGCTGGCTATAGAGCATCTACCATGCCAGAGGCCAGCGCTGGGCCTCAGGAGGCCCCGGGGACTTTCATTTTGCACCAGCCTCCCTCGTAACCTGSGCATGAACGACCCCACTTTGCAGACAAGCAGACTGAGGCTCAGAGAAGCCTAGCGTCTTGCCCAGGTCCCTCTGAGAGTCCCTGGTGGGCGTGTGGTCGGCATCTGGGACTGTCCCATGCCCAAGCTCAGCCCGTGCCCCGTACGTGTTGGAGGGAGGCACCGGAGCCTGCTTTGCCCCCCGGGACGCCCAGACCCTGAAGTCTGGCCCCTCCCTGCTCCCCCGGGACTGACCCAGCATCTCCCCTCAGGAAGGCTACACGTTGACCTGTGTCTTCTGGAAGAAGGGAGCCAGCAAGCACCACTGGGGGGCCTGGAGCCCCGAGGGCTGCCGCACAGAGCAGCCCTCCCCCTCCCAGGTGCTCTGCCACTGCAACCACCTCACCTACTTTGCTGTTCTCATGGTACGTGTGCATCCAGGCTGGGCGAGGGAGTCAGAGCCACACAGGGCTCCCATGCCCCTGGAAGAGGGGCAAGGCAAAAGCTGGTATAAGGGGAAGAAAATCCAACTCAAGTGGGCTTAAACCACACACACACACAAAGAAACTTAGGGGCTCATGTTCCTGAAAAGGTTGGGCTGTGGAGGCTTCAGGCATGGCTTGGTCCAGGAACTGAATAGCACTGAGACAGGATTCTCTCTCTGTTCTTCAACTGTGTTTGATCCGTGCTGGCTTGGCCCTCCAACAGGGTCTCCCCACTGGATAATATGACTGCCAGCAATTCCAGGCTCATGCCCTGGGAGCTTTCAGGMCAGTGGAATAAAAGCCTTTCTTACCCAATTCTGCCAGCTAGTCTTGGGACTGAATCCTGTGGCTTGATGTGTATCATGTGCTCACCCCTTGAGCCAATTGCTATGGGCAGGAGGGGGAAGGCTCCGATAGGCCAGGCCTGGTAGCCCGTCCATACCCGGGGTGGGAGAAGTGGGGCCCCTTCCCACAGGGGCCCAGAGRATGGGGGAGGGGCATTTGCATGGGGGGGATGGGAGTTTCTGGGGGAAAGTTGCTACATCTGCCAGGGAGGCTGGGCTTGCAGGGAAGGGACCCTCCGTCAAGGGCCGGGGAGGRCATGTCCACGCTCCGGCTCCAGCCCCCTCCCTCCCGCAGCAACTCTCGCCGGCCCCGCTCCCCGAGGAGCTGCAGGCCCCCCTTGAGTACCTGTCCCTTGTGGGCTGCAGCATCTCCGTGGTGGCCTCGCTGCTCACCATCGTGCTGCACCTCTATGCCAGGTATGCCCCTGCCTCCGCGCCCCGTCCGTCTGCTCGGCCTCCTCCAGGTCCCCACCAGGTCTCCCAGGGCGGGGCCAAGAGGCAGGGGTCACAGCGCACGCAGTGGGGTCACTGTGCCTCCCAGTGGGTGGCGCTGCCCGGTGACATCCCGCCGTGCTCCCACCCCAGGAAGCTCAGTGACGCCGTCACGCACATCCACATGAACCTGCACGGCTCCGTGCTGCTCCTGAACGTGGCCTTTCTTCTGAGCGCCACGGCGGCCGTGGCCCCGGTGCCTGGGCCCGCGTGCTCGGCCCTGGCGGCCACGCTCCACTTCGCGCTGCTCAGCTGCCAAACCTGGATGGCCATCGAGGGCTTCAACCTCTACCTTCTCCTCGGCCGCGTCTACAACGTCTACATCCGCAGATACGCGCTCAAGCTGGGCGCCCTGGGCTGGGGTGAGCCCGCCTGCCCACTTAGGGGTCAGCGGGCCCAAGTGACGGCCCTGCCACCCCCGTGTCTCTGTCAACACACACACTGCAGCCCRTCTCATCACCATCTGCACCTCCACCTCCACCATCACCCCACCAACCGCTGCAACCACCATTACTACCTCCACATCACCTCCTCCAGCTCCTCCATCACCACCTCCGCCACCACCATCAGCCCCACCAACACCAGGATCACCGCCATTACTACCTCCTCATCACCTCCTCCAGCTCCACCAGCACCAATCACCTCCATCACCACTATCACCTCTACCTTCAACCCACCATTACTACTACCTCCTCATCACCTCCTCCAGCTCCACCAGCACCATCTCTGCCACCATCACCACCACCACCTCTACCACCATCACCACCTCCATCAGCACTCTCACCTCCATCTTCAACCCACCATTTCTACTACCACCACATCACCACCTCCAGCTTCACCTCCAACACACCATCACCACAACCATCAGCTCCAAACCCCCTTTAACCCACCATTACCATCACCATAACCATCACCACCTCTATCTCCATCACCATCACCACCATCACTTCCAACACAACCATCACCACCACCATCACCCCCACCAACTCCACTTTAACCATCATTACTACCATCACCACATCACCTCCAGCTCCACAATTACCACCTCCACTTCCACTTCCAACACCATCACCATCACCTCCACCACCACTATCAGCCCCACCAACCCCCCTCCAGCCCACCATAACTACACCACATCACCACTTCCAGCTCCACCTCCATCACCATTATCACCTCCACCACCATCTCCACTGTCACCATCAGCTCTACCACCTCCAACTCCAACACCACCATCACCACCTCTACCTCCACCATCACCATCACCATCACCATCACCTCCACCATCACCATCACCATTACCATTAGCTCTACCACCTCCACCTCCAACACCACCATCATCACCTCCACCACCACCATCACCACCACTGTCAGCCCCACCAACTCCCCTCCAGCCCACCATAACTACCAACACAGCTCCACCTCCATCACCATCATCACCTCAACCACCATCTCCACCATCACCATCACCATCAGCTCTACCACCTCCACCAACACCATCACCATCACCTCCACCACCACCCTCACCACCTCTACCTCCAACCACCATTACTACCACCACATCACCACCTCCAGCTCCACCTCCATCACCACCATCATCACCACCATCTCCACCACCATCTCCACCACCATTAGCTGTACCACCTCCACCTCCAGCACCACCATCACCACCTCTACCTCTGGCCACCATTTCTACTACCACCACATCACCACCTCCATCAGCTCCATCACCCACCTCCAATCCCACCATCAACCCCATTACTTCCTCCCACTACCATCATCACCTCCAACTCCACTTCCAGTTCACCATTCACCACCATCAGCTCCATACTCTCACCTCCATCCCTCCCTTGCTCCCACCACCATCACCACCTCCACCTCCATCACCACCATCCCCAGCCCCACCGTTTCCACTACCTCCCACCATCATCTCCATCGTCACCATCATCCTCATCCTCACCACTTCCTTCCTTCCATCATCGGTGCCTCCATTACCACCTTCCCCCTTTTTCAATTATGTCTACTTCCTCACCCCTCTCTCCCATTTGCTCCTCACCCCTTCTTCCCCGGGTGGTCCCCTCTACTGCCCCTCCTCTTCTGTCCTRGAGCCATCCCTCATGAAGAGCCTCCTCCGAGAGCGCAGGCTCAGTGCTCAGAGGCTGGAGCTCAGCGCGGCCCCTCCCCTCCCCTGCCCAGTGGGGTTCCCTGTTAGCAGGCCCAGAGATGAGGGTCAGCCCTTTGGGCCTCCTGAGCCTTTGTCCCACCCTCAGGGGTCCCTGCCCTCCTGGTGCTGCTTCTCCTCGCCGTCGAGAGCTCCGTGTACGGGCCCCGTGTGATTCCCATCTCCAGGAGCCTGGAAAATGGCACGATCCTCGGGAACACGTCCATGTGAGTGCCCGGCGCTGGCAGAGCGCCCTGTGGGCCTGGGGCTCTAGACGGGTGTCCTGCAGGTCAGGCCTGGCTGGAGGGCGAGGAGGAGCTCAGACGGGGATGTGGGGGGGCGCCACACTCCTCCTCCCGGATGTGGCAATCTCCTGCAGGGCAGCTGCGCCAGCTGACGCCAGGAAGCCGTGGGTCAGAGGGGCCCGCTTGGCTCCCAAGGCCCGCAGTGGAGCCTGCCTGTTGGGCCCAGCCTTGGCCTGCAGCTCCCAGTGGACTGTCCAGCACAGCCTGCCCCTGACCATCCTTCTCAGCCCCGTGCTTCACTAATCCAATTCCGGCTCCTCCCAACTTGCTCCAGGGCACGACCTTGCCAGGCCCCACAGACCCCCCTGGCCTGAGAAGAGAGTGCATGGACCTGGGGGAGGGCAGGACAGGGATGGGGCTCAGTGTCCTTGGGGCTGGACGGGAGGCAAGGCCCTGGGGGGCCCGGGGACAGTCTGCTGCCTCCTCCTGGAAGCTGCGACGTCAAGCCTGCTGTAGAGTTAGGACAGTGAGGCACAGAAGCCCTGGAACTCGCCCAAGGAGACCCAGGCAGTCAGTGGCAGAGCTGGACCTTGCAGCCAGTGACCCCAACCACCAGGCCCGCCTCATCCCACTGTCCCCGAGGGCTCAGAGCTGGGTGAGGGGAGGGGCCGCTTTCTCTCTGGAGGTCGGGTTGTGTCTCCAAGGAGGTGTGACTCACCCTCCTCAAAGGTGTGTTTTACTATAKACTATGTGATAGGGACCCAAGAGTTGAAGTGACACATGACAGGGACGTTAGGGACCCTAGGCGAGGCACTAGCTTCCCTGTAATTTTCCCTCCCCTCCCTCCACCTCCGGAAGCCATAACTCTGGCTTCTGTGACCCTCTTTCACCTCTTAACCGTCGTTAATACCCTCGAATTCCTCACGCCACCCTGGAACACGACCCAAATGTCCGCTGACGGATTAAGAGGGTGAAGGGGCTGTTGCTGCTAGTGCATCACCTAGCAGTGACATGAACCCCAGCGCTGTTCCCAGGACAGTGGCTGCAGCAGCAGGAGCCCCTGGGGTCCCTGAGGAGGTGACCGTGACAGGGGCACAGGGTCTGGGCTCGGACCAAGGGACTTCAGGTTCCACCTCTGCCCCTGACTAGTGTGTGGGTCGACTCCAGCAGGACTGGAGGTTCCTGAGCCGGAGCCTCAGTTTCCTCGTCCTCAGGGTGGGGAGGGATAGTGCCCGCCGTGTGGGTCATGAGAACCGCGCGGCACTGTCCATGCCAGGCAGCCGCCCAGCGCTCAGGTTGGGTAAGAGGCGGCACCTCTGGCCAGGAAAGACCGGAAGGGCTTGGAGGACCTAGGGCCAGGGTGGGGAGGGGGGGGGGAGAAAAGAAGGAAAGGATCGTCTGGGCCGCAAGTCGAGATGACATCCAGAGGCAGCCTCCCTGGGCTTGGAGCTGCGCTGACCTGGTGCCTCGCTGTCCCCCGCAGGTGCTGGCTGTGCAGCCCCGAGGTGCACCAGGTCCTGGTCATGGGCTACAGCGGCGTCACGTCCCTGTTCAACCTGGCGGTGCTGGCCTGGGCGCTGTGGGCCCTGCGCAGGCTGTGGGCACAGAACAGGGCGCTGAGCGGCCGGGCCTGCAGGGACGCTGTCACCGTGCTGGGCCTCACCGTGCTGCTGGGCACCACCTGGTCCTTGGCTTTCTTCTCCTTTGGCATCTTCCTGCTGCCCCAGCTCTTCCTCTTCACCATCGTCAACTCGCTCTACGGTGGGCCCCGGGGGCAGGAGGCCCGAGGATTGCTCGCAGCGGTTGGGAGGTCGAGGGCGAGGGGACCAGGGGCGCTGCGTCATTGCCGAGCGGGGTGCAGCCTCGCCTGCACGGAAGTGCTCTCTGGGCCAGCGGGGCCGGTCCTCTGGCTCCTGGAGGCCATTCCYTCTGTCCTCCAAGAGGAGGAGGCTCTGAGGACTACTCCTGGGCCCAGGGAGGCCCCGCTCAGCCCGGCTCCGGGTCCCTGGGCTCCGGGCGAGGCTCCTGCTCTCAGCGAYGCCCACTGACGGGTCCTTTCTTGCAGGTTTCTTCCTCTTCCTGTGGTTGTTCTTCCAGAGGTGCCACTCGGAGGCGGAGGCCAAGGCAGAGATGGAGGCCTTCAGCTCCTCCCAGATGACGCAGTGACCCGGCACCGCCTGCGGCCCAAGGCCCTGGCTCCTACCAGAGACGGTGGCAGGCCTGCCGCAGGACACCGAGGCCCTGGTGCCTCCTGGGCCTTGCTACCTCCACCGCCTCCCCAGGCACAGAGGGCGGCGTGGGCCGGGGTCCGCCCTGCTGGCCGGGCCTGTCGGCAGAGCTCGGGCCTGGGAGCCAGGAGGCCACGTTCCCAGGCCTGGCTCTGAGTCCTGCCGAGTGATCTGGGGCCTATCATGGACCCTGGGTTTCCACATCGGTGACGTGGGGACAAGTGGCTGACCGGGAGCTGTGTGAAGACTGAACACCGGGGGAGAAGAATGTCAGTGCGGGTGGCATTCCCTCTGGCCTCCTGCTGTGGCCTCCCCTGCCTTCTGGAGTGGGTCCCTACCTTCCTCCTGGGGAGGATCAGGCTTCACCTGACCCGAGGCCCCTGCCAGCACTCAGGGCCCCACCCCAGCCCTCACCAGCCTGCGCCCAAGGAAGGCCACTTTTCCTTTCACCCCCAAAATGATAACATCCAACTCAGAGCCCATCCGTCCCGAAGATGGGGCGGTCCAGTCCTCTCCAGGGCATCCTCCTCCCGTGCTTCCAAGACCCCCACAGTCCCTTCAGGTCAGCCACCAAGGCCACAGGCCTTCCCTGGCTTTGGGGCRGGGAAGCTTCTCCCTCCAGTTGGTTGAGCCTCTGAGTTAGGTGTCAGGGGAGACTGAGTTTCCCCTGGTGGGCATGAGGGTGTGGGTCCCAAATTCCAAGCTCTGGTGGCCACGGTGGCCGTAGACSCGTCTGTCAGGAGACCACACTCTTGAAGCCGGTGCTTTTCCCGGGATAGACACCAGGCGGCGCTCTTGGCCTGTGAACCGARGCATTGGCGCCAAGGCTGCCCCTGGAAACGCAGCGGTCACCTGTGGACCCCAAGTGCCCGCTGGAGAGAGGGGTCCYTCCAGGACTGTGCCTGTGGAGTGACTGCAGGAGGAGACCCCAGGGCAGCTGGGCGAGGTCACTTTGGGGGGCTTGTGCCCCAGGATCCCTGGCACTAGAGCAGCTGGCCCGAATGGACTCTTAGGGCTCTGCCCCAGGCCATCGACAGACTTGGTGACCTTGGGCCAGGGAACTGGAGCGGGTCCTTGTTCTCCCAGGGGCTCCTCTTCCCCTCTGCACATCTCTGGATGCAAACAGCTCCTCGCTAGCTGGCGAGTGAGTGGTCCAGGCCCAGGGCCGCTCCTGGCTGAGACTGTGGACAAGTCACTCAGACTGGGCCTTCCTTTCCCCCTCTGTACAATAGGGTCAATGGCGGGACCTACTCTGGAGATTCAGCAAAACAGTCCCTATAAAGAGGCTCGGTCCTCAGGGAGGTACTGCTGGCTCTAGTGGGGCTGTTGCTATGACTGGTGTCGGCCGAGCCGCAGGCCCAGGTCTCCCAGCCTCTCGGCCCCTTCTCAGGCACCTTCACCCTCCTGTCCCCTCCGGGCGTCTGCTCCAGCCTTTCTGGCTTCTGTTCTAGGAATACTCACTGCTAGTGTGCCCCTCGGCTGCCTCCCTGTCCCCCCACCTCCTCAATCCCCCAGTCCTCTGGTGGCTCATTTATCACGTCTTCTAGGACAACGCTGGTTGCCCCAAAGAGAAGGCCCCTCTGCTCTGAACCCAGGCAGAGCAGCCCCCCGTCAGGGTGATGGAAGTCCCCGTCAGGGCTCCCCGGGGCCCCTGGCCCGGCCACACACCGTAGAGGGTCCTCCAGGCCTCGCGGGCCCCCTGTGACGTGGGTGCTGGGGGATCACGGGAAGGTGGGCAGCTCCAGGCAGAGGTGACCTGGGCCGTGGCTGGATGGACAGCTCTGTGAGTCGGGCCCGTGGAAGGCGGCACCCACCCAGCCCAGAGCCTGGCCTCTCCGACCCCAGGGAGCCTGGACCTACCTGAGCCTGTGGCCCTGGCAACCCTGGTGGGTGTGGAGGTTGCAGGAAGTGGTCCCAAGCTGGTGGCCTTGAGCCGTGTTGGGGTCTAGGCTCTGGGCAGGGACTGCTTCCTGGAAATACCCCAGTGGGGTGTGGGGACAGGGGCTGAGGAGACTGCAGTGCCACCCCGCCCTCCCCTCACTCCCAGCCCCGCCAGGCGGGAAGATGGTGGAGGCTGGAGGGAGGTCCCTGTTCAGGGCCAGGGCCTCCGAAGGGCAGCAGGCGGAGGACAGCAGGTGGGGCCGCACGCTTCTGTGGGTTGCTTTGTTCCTGGTGTCTCAGGGAGATGCGTGGCGGGTGTTGAGAGTGGGGCTGCCGGGTAAGGCACAGGGACTTAGTTCTGGAGACACACTGACTCTGAAATAGTCACAGTCTATCTGAAATTCAGATTTAGCTGTGTGTGTCCTATATATCTATTTTTAATTTCTGCTAAAACTAGCAACCCTAGTCGAAAAGAGCACTGCTTGGAGATCCCAGGCGTGGACTCTTTATCCTTCAGATCYACCCCCGGGCAGCCCCTTGGCCCCTCAGAGAGCCCCTCACATGCAGCCCACTCAACTTGCGGTTTCTGTGTGTCTATGGTCAGCCCAGGCCATCACCAGGAACCCCAAGGGTTCTGCGTTGGGGTGCCCCCACCCGGCTATCAGCCCTGCTCGGAGCCAGCCTCTTCCCGGGCCTCCCTGCCTCCTTGTTCCCAGTTCAAACTTTACCCAGAAGCCAGAGGGCATTTTCCACGCTGCAGCCTGACCATGCCCCTCCCCTGCTCACAGATGCCCTGCCACACCCTCTCATCCATGCTGCCAGACTGTCCTTGGGAGCTTGATGGCCCCAGGTCCTGCCTGTGCCCCGCCTGGAGCCCACCTCCCTCCCGCCTCCCTCACCCCCTGGACCTGCCACACTGACACTGCCTTTGGTTCCCTGGACTGCTGCCTTCTCCTGGGGGGCTGGCCTGGGGCCGAATGCCCTCCCTTGGCCCTCACTGGGGCTCCGTGGTGACATGTCCTTAAAGTCTCAGCTCTGCACATCCCTGTGCCCTCCAGACCAGACAGGGCCTCGTCCCTGACCTCCAAATCTGCAGTAGGATCGCCTCCCGACTCCCCTCCTCTGTGACAGACGTTGTCTCCCTGTGTGACAACTGTCCCTGTCTGTCTCGGTGTCAGACGGAGAGCACAGTGGAGACAGGTGCGGTCTCATTTGCTCATTCAGCCGCCGCATAATTGCTACATGCTTTTATTTTGGGTGCTGCGCTGGTTGCTAGGGATGTATAAATAACCAGTCGCCACATTCTAGCRTGGGTGGGCGCCACATCAGAGGCCATTCAACACTTCCATAAAAGATCTGACAGGTGGGGACTTGGGCTGTGCTCCAAGGAACAGGAAGCCAGGTTTGGCAGAGGGATACTGAGGAGTAAATGGAGGGGTGCTGGATTTGGGGGTGCAGGAGAGGCTCAGTGAGCTGGCCCAAAGGGACCTGGAGGCCAGCCCAAGGCAGGAGTCCTTAGAGCAATCTTTCCATGTGCTGATAGGGAACTTTGGGAGAGCTGGGGGTTGGGGGAGAAGGGTCGGGGGAGCCGCTTTCAGGTGAGATCAAACTCCCGAAGGTGASGGCACTGACCCGGGTTGGGGTGCCCTAGAAGCAAACGCAACGTGGAGGGGAATTTGGTTAGGATAGGCCAGGAGGATGCCCAGAGAGTGAGATCAACTTTCCGAATCACAAGAAGATAAGCCACCATGAATGAGCGTCAGCGGGGACAAAAGAAGCAACAGAGTCGGACCCAGCCACAGAGCAGTGAGCAGCGACGCGGGAGACGGCTGAAGAGATAAAAGAAGCTGCGTGCGGTGGTGCACGCCTGCAATCCCAGCTACTCAGGAGGCTGAGGCAGGAGGATCTCAAGTTGGAGGCCAACCTGGGCTACTGATTTTGTCTCAAAATCAAAGTGAAAAAAGGGAAACGGGCTGGGGGTGTGGCTCAGGGACAGACTGCTGGCCGGCCCGTGTGAGGCTCTGGGTTCAACACCCGGGACTGTAGAAAGGGGCGGGTGGGGGAGAGGGGGAGAGAAGAACAGGTGGAATTTTAAAGATGAGCATAGAAAACAAGGAGGAAGGAAGAGAGAGATCTGGGGGGAAATGGAAATCTAGAAATGAAAACCATGATTTCAGAACCTAAAACTCAAACAGCAATAACGGTGGAATGGAGAATCAGTGAGCCGGAAGTCATTGATAAAAAATGCCACAAGAGAGATAGGAAGGTGGGTCATGCCCAGGGAGGCTGAGAGCAACCTTGAGGATGAGGAGASCTTCTCTGTCGGAGTCTCTGAAGAAGAGAATAAAGGGAATAACCAAGAGGTACTATTTGAAGATAAAATGGCAGCACCTTTTCTAGGAGTGTTGGAAAACAGAGCCACAGAGCCAGGAAATGCACAGTCCCCCAAGCACAACACACAGCAATCCATCCTGCGCCTGCGTTTCACTGAGACCACGGAGTGCCAAAGGCGGAGGAGGGATGAAACGACAGGTTGTCTGCGACGGGGACAGACGAGCGCCAGGCGCCTTCCCGACAGCCCGACAGAGATGCGGAGGCGGGCATCACGTCTCCAAAGGGGTGAGACCCAGCGATCGTCGGCTCACAGTGACGTCCTGCCAAGGACCCTTTCAAGAACAGAGACCAAAGGACCGAGATCCGTTTCTTTTAACACTTGCAGGTAAATAAAAGCGGAAAACGATCCAAAGAAACTTCAAAAAGATGCAAAAAGATCCCAGACGGCCAGCCTGAGAGGCAGGAAGGAGTGGGAGCGCAGAAAATGATAGAAGTAGGAAAGAATCATCCGTGTCCAATAAAAATTGTGATGGGACAGAAAGATCTTAAGTCCCYGTCCATCTGGGGGCTTAAGATATGGGTGGACACTAGTCCTGTGGGTGGTAGGCAGTTTAAGTGTGTCCCCGAAGGGTCATGTGCTGGAGCTTGGTCACCAGTGTGGTGAGGTTGGCAGATGGGAKGCTTAGGTCAACTGTCTCAGTCCTCCTGGAAACTCAGCCTTAA